AACTGAAGAAGCGCGAGGCCAAGGAGGCGCTGGAGGCAGAGGAGGAAATGCAGATGACAGTGGATCATCAGGATGTGTTCCAGCTGCCGACCGAAGAGGAAGAGGCCGAGAAAGACATCACCTTGCAGGACGTGCAGCAGCGCATCAAAGACATCACCCTGGTCCTGTCTGACTTTAAGAAATACCGTCAGGCAGATCGCTCCCGAAGCGAGTACATCGATCGACTGCGCCAGGATCTTTGCCTGTACTACAGCTACAATGATTTCCTAATGGAGAAGCTCATGGATATGTTCCCCCTGAGCGAGCTCATGGAATACTTAGAGTCATCGGAGGTGAGTCAGCAACCCAACGCAGTTGATCCCATGAAGTTTAACCAATCTAATCTGCCTTCCAGGTGGCCCGTCCGCTAACAATCCGTACGAACACGCTGAAGATACGCCGTCGGCAGCTGGCAGGCGCTCTAATAAATCGTGGCGTCAATCTGGATCCCTTGGGCAAGTGGACCAAGGAGGGCTTGGTCATCTTCAACTCGCAGGTGCCGCTGGGTGCCACTCCGGAGTATCTGGGCGGTTATTATATGATTCAAGGCGCCTCCTCGATGCTGCCAGTGATGGCGCTTGCCCCGCAGGAGAACGAACGCATTCTGGACATGTGCTCCGCTCCAGGTGGCAAGGGCTCCCACATTGCGGCCGCCATGAAGAACTCTGGCGTGCTCTTCGCCAACGATTCCAACAGGGATCGCATCAAGGCCGTTGTGGCCAACTTCCATCGTCTGGGCGTTGTAAATTCCGTTGTGAGCTGCGAGGATGGTACCAAGTTCCGTAAAATAATGACTGGCTTCGATCGTGTCCTTCTGGATGCTCCCTGCACTGGCACTGGTGTCGTGTCGAAGGATCCCAGTGTGAAGACCACGAAGTCGGATGTGGATGTCCAACGCTGCTACAATCTTCAGCGCAAGCTTCTCCTCACCGCTATTGACTGTGTGGATGCGAAATCGTCGACAGGTGGCATTATTGTGTACTCCACCTGCTCTGTGCTGCCCGAGGAGAACGAGTGGGTCATCGACTATGCTCTGAAGAAGCGCAACGTCAAGCTGGTACCAACTGGACTCGACTTTGGTGTTGAGGGCTTCACGAAGTTCCGCCAGCATCGGTTCCATCCCAGCTTGAACCTGACCAAGCGCTACTATCCACACACCCACAACATGGACGGCTTCTATGTGGCCAAGCTAAAGAAGTTCTCCAACACGATACCCATAACCAAGGAGCAGCAGGAGGAGGACGAGAAGCAGCTGGATGAACCCATAGAGGGCGAGACCACCACCGAAGCAGCGGCTGAGGGAGCGGCTGAGGATGCAGAAGAAAATGAGGATGAGAAAGCTCCCCGCAAGCTGCTGGGCAAGCGGGCCGGCAAGCCAAGCCTCACAGACATTGACCAGGATCTAAAGAAGAAGAAGCTCGAGGCGAACAAGAAGAAATACGTGGCCAAGGTGTTTGAGAAACCCGTCAAGGTTGCCAAGACACCAAAGTCAGAGCAGCCACAGGAGACGAATGGTGCACCGAAGTCGCAAAAGAAGAATAAGCCCCAGGCGACGAACGGTGCACCGAAGACCGAAAAGAAGGCGAAGCCCCAGTTCAAGCCAGAGCAGGCCAATGGCAAGGGAAAACCAACGAAACCGGAAGCCGGCAAGAAGTTCCCGTCTCAGCCAAATGTAAAGGCGTCTCCTGGAAAGTCAGCTGCACCCAAGCCCGAAGCGAAAAAGTTCCAGCCAAAGGACAAGAAGGGCGAAGCCAAACAGCAGGCAGCTAAGCCAGCTGCAAACGCCAAAGCCAACGCCACACTGGCCAAGGCTCCGCGCATCGATGCCGACGATGTGCCCGTGCTGGAGGGCAAACCCATCAAAAGGCAGAACAACCTGAAGCAGAAGTCCAAGCAGATCGGGCAGCTGAAGAAGTCAAAGACGGGAGCAAATCCAAATCCGAAAGGAGGCAAGAAGCAAAAGTTTAAGAAGTGAACACGTCAACAAAGTTCCAAGTCGGTTAAGTAGTTGCTTAAGTGTAAGCCTGATGCCCGGTCAAATGCTTGGGGGTAGTGCCTAAAACGATTATCTGTTTTATACTGAAAACTGTTTCTATGTCTTAGCTGCGGATTGAAGCTAAGACGTTGCTTGTAATTAACGAACATAATAAATAAACGTAAAGCTCGGATTAATGTAATCAGAAAGCGGGTTTTACCACTGCAAGTATGCATCGATCAGGCATTAAGTTTTAGTTTTCATTTAGCGATATTTTCCTATGTACATCCAGCCCTAGTGCGAGCTCCAGCTGGGCGTTGCCCCCACACAGCACCACGAAGAGCAAGCTGTCGCTGCTCAGTCGAGCGTTGAGATAAGCTTCAATTTGTTAATACAAATTTCAGTGGCAAACGAGTAAACAACATGGAATGGTGCGTTCTGCTGTGCTCATTCCTTCTCCTGGGATTTGTGCCCATACAAGCGGACGTGGACCAAAGCACGCTGGCGGCTCTGCAGATTCACAAAAATCTGAATAGATCACAAGAGGCCTGCACGAATTTCTGGAACTATGCCTGCGGGAATTATTCAGCTGCCGACGGCGCCAAGTATGTGGATAACTTTGAGCTGGTGGAGGATCTGTACGCCCAGGCCATGGTGGAGTTCATGGAGGGTGACCTGGAGCTTGTGGACAGTGATGTGCAGTTGAATGAAGGACCAGCGCTGCGTTTGTTGGCCCAAATGCGAGCCTATTACAATGCCTGTACCAATGATTCCCAAACCGATTGGCCAGAGGAAGATTTTCGTTTGCTGGAGTCCAATGACTGGGCGCTCGAAACTGCCAAGTTCCGCAGGCATGGATTGAATGCGGTTTTCTTTGACGAGCGCGTAGATGTGGCCTACAACGATTCGCTGCGTTCGGTTGTGCAGCTCAAGATGCCAGATCCCAGCAGCAGCTACAGCGAGCGGTGTGCCCTGCAGCTCCTTAAACTCAATCACTCTGGCAGCGAGGCAGAAGTCTCCAGGCTGGTGGATCAGCTGCGTCAACTGGAAGCAAAGCACCGCCAAGAGGAGCCTCTGGTGCAGTCCTGGACACTGGCGGATCTTGAGCAGAAAATACCACAAATCAACTGGCAGGCGTACTTCCACGAGCTGCTTTCGGGTCATCTGAACGGCGTGCTTTTCGAGGTCAGCGATGTGGATTACTTGCGTGAGCTTGGCCAGCAGTTGGGAAATACCAATAGAAGCACCATTAATCTCTATCTGCGTCTGCGTCTCACCGTTCTGCTGAAGCAGACGGGGCCCGCCAGGCGCAGTCCCAATACATGCATTCACCACATGCGAGCCCTGCTGCCCTTGGGCATGAACTACCTGTACAATCGTTATGTGTACAAGAACAGGAACCTGGTGGACAACATTCAGCTGCTGGAGATCTTCGAAAGCCTGAAGGGTATGTTTGGCAAATACCTGGAAGCCAATCGCCTGCAGCTAAGCCCAGCCCAACTGTCGTACGTGAGGGAGAAGCTGTCGACCATGAAGCTGAAAGTGGGAAATCTGCCAGAGGAGACGTCACCTGCATTCTATGACAGCCACTATGAAAGTGCCAATTTCTCGGACTCTCATCATCTGAGCAATGTCCTCGAGGCGCTGAGTTTGCGCACCCGACTCCAGCACGATGTGCTCCGGCTGCCACACTCCCGATTGGATCTGCGCCGCTACTATGTCAACGATGATGTGGTCAAGGCTCGTACCTCGCCCTTCTACGAGAACGAGCGGAACACGATTACGGTGCCCTTGATCTTTCTGCATTTTCCCCTCTTCGATCACCGCCAGCACTCCATTTTCCAGTACAGCTTGATGGGAGGTGTCCTGGCCCACGAGCTGAGCCACGCCTTTGAACACGAGGGCATCCTCTTCGATGCCGATGGCAATGAGTCGCCAGTGGGATTGCAGATTCGGGACACAAAAGCCTTCCAGAATGCCATCAAGTGTGCGGCCCAGACGCCCGCAGTGTCGCTGAAGGAGCGCTTGGCCGATCTCAATGGCCTCCAGCTAGCCTACGATACCTTTTTCGGATTGGATCACAACTCCCAGCTCTACACATATCGTCCCTATGCATTTGAGAGCGAATTCCAAGCACCGCAGCTGTTCCACCTTAGCTACGCGCAGTTCTTCTGCGGTATCCTGCCGCCGGTGCTCGGTCATGACAGGGACGATGTGCGTGTCAATGTGAACGTTGCAAACTTACGTCAATTCTCATTGGATTTTAAGTGTCCCCCGCCAGCAGTGCAGTCGCCTCCTGTGTGTGAATTGTGGCGCCCGACAGCATCATCTATTTTGGTTTCAGCTTAAGTACTCAAATCAATAAAAAGTAACACATTGTCCATGTTGATCGACTGCTTGATGCCATGTAATAGCTTGATTTCTTTTTAGTTGTGAGCAACCAGAAGATATTTCTGTATTAATCGACACGCAAGATGATCCGCAGGAAAATGCATGCAGTGATTTCTGCTACTCTCTCTCGCGCACTCCACTTTTGGGTAACTTTAAACAGTCACATTTCTATGTCACCGTTCACTAGGGTATCAGAAGTATTAATACTTTGAAAATTGGACAAAATCCATTGAAAGGGCCATT